AAAATAACTTCATAAACATTGGAGATTTCCACTTAGAAACTGTTTCAACCAAAAGTTACACTAGACCGGCTTATTTGCACCGCATTAATCATTTTATCATCCTCCCAACCCATGACACGTAGCAAGATGAAATGTCGGATTGTGGTTAAAACTGAGGATTTTCACTTGTCCTCTTATTTCTGTTCACTGCTGTCACTCATTTTTTGCAGCAACAGCCAACAATGTCTTGGTGTCAAAACTGTAAAAGTGTATTAGGGCCCACTAGGACGGGACGGCTTTTCCGGATCGACTCACGTCAAACCGCAGGGCCCTACACAAGTTGGCTCTTCAATATGGTTTTCTATGGGATTGGGTGAGCGGGGCCGGACGGGTTTCCTTTTTATCTCAATTTTTTTTTTCCTTTTATGAAATACTCTTAAATTACATATCAAAAGAACGTGATAAATAGCGGGGGTGTACACGACGCGTTTGCATAAAGGCCCGGTCAAAGGCGCGCAATATTTCAACGCGAAGTGCTGCACACGTTTGGCAATATGTGGCAAGACGTTGGATGAAGTTTAAAATGGTCAAATTTTTGTTGCAACATTTTTGGATGTTCCAAGATGTTTCTCGCGTTTGGCCAGCTCCTTCACAACATCTGAAAACATGATCCAACAAGGTTTCAAGATGCAACGCAGTCGGAGTGCGCACACCTGCTTAATTCCTGTTTCGTCGAGAGCTTAGAGTGACAACTGCTCTCACTTAATTACATTGTATCTGACCTATATGTGGATGTTAAAGATTACAAATAGAAAGAACAGCAACTTGTGGAAATGATAACGTTCTTGTGCTTTCCTATAGTTGAAAGTTTTTTCGCTAATTTAACACTAATTATTATTCAACTTTCAAACTCTGTACGAATTCCGGTTTTCTGATTGGCTCAATTGTACCACTTGAGACTTAGTTTTGACAAACGACCTCCTTGAGGTCATTATCGAGTTATAAGAGCCTTGATGTAAATTCAACACTCCACTGTCACTGCCATTGCTCGTGAATTATCCGGATTTACCCGTACTTATTCACAAACAATGAACTTGTGCAGGTAATTATCTCCCTTTAATTCACCCGCTGAGTACGTTGACCAATAACCTCTTGATGGATCGATGCGCCTAGCTATCAGATTATTAAGCATGCAAAACCTGTGCAATAATTTATCAGGGAGTGGTAATGCTCTTATTTAACTCCTAAGAAGTGATCTCAACCCTTGCTTCTTCGCTTTCTTTCGCTTTTCTGTTTGTTTGTTTGTTGGCTTGTTTTTCCTTTTCATCCTGTAACCACAGCATACTTGTCATTTACCATTACCTTTATTTTCTTACAAGAAATACGAGTATACACGGAAATATATGTATTTACAGAAAAAATGTATATTTAAAGAAATTGTATATACTATTTTCAACACTTTTTATTGCTAAAACTCTAAACTCAAGAGATTCTTACTGGCAGCAGCACTCGCGTCCTGATTTCGTTTTCACAACACTTATTTCCAATTACTTCGTTAGCGATTTCGAAGGCTCCCTTGGATCGAAATTTGTAATTATAAAGAAAAGGAAGGAAAAAGCTTAAAGTTCTTTTTAAAGTCTTATCATAAACATAATTTTAATGATAGATGTCAAATCCTCTGCACTTATATTGGAAAAAAGAAAAAGAAAATTATCCTCTCCTTTTACTCCTATGCAACAAAGAAGCAGAAAATGACAAGAGAAAAGATATTTTTGTACAGAAAATAACACAAAGTGTTAAGAGCAGAGTGAGATATATAAATATAACTTACACCTATAATTTTCTTTACGTTCTCCCACTTTCTATGACGCTTCTGTTTCCTTCATAAACATTGATTAGAGTAACCTCATTTAGCAGCGTTGGTAGATGCAATATAAGCCACCGAATATGTTCTAGAGTATAGGTTTGTTATTCCTTTATTAGTTAGCTACTTATTCACGAAAGTTTGTTCTCCTAGATCCTACTTATTACCATAATGTCTAAGTTTTGGAATTTATTTATTGTCAAGATAAAGCTGCAAATATTACCGATGATCACGGTAACTAGTCTATCGCAGCCACTATCAACATTAAACAAGCACTGGATAGCGAAACGAGGTAAAGGTCATCTAATGACTTAAGCGGGAAGGTTAAGAGGGCTTGATTGAGGAGATTGCTGTAAGAACTGAGTACTCTGGTACTGTAAACACCACATTTTGCTTAACACAACATATGAAACTCATATATCTGAACTGCAGTTATAGATACGTACTTGTGCACGACCCTCTTTACTGCGAGGATCGTGCACAATAAATACGTATCTATAACCGCAGTGGTTCGAATCCCGTACAGGCCTGAATTTTTTCAGGTCTGATTTTCACTACTGCTTGAATAGTGCTCTTTACTGCGAGGATCGTGCACAAATACATTTTGCTTATTTATATAGGCTACGGGCCCCCTTGCTTTTCACTGATAGAAACTAAGCTGTCTAAATTTTCAGCCATCATTCTTTCATGCCGAACATTTGAGATTGGAGATCTCAAACGAACAAAGAAGATAAGAGTTGCGTGATAGATATACAGAGGAACCCCGTTAACTCGAAGTCGGTTCACTCGCGCCCCGGTAACTCGAACAAGATCCGAATTCTCTACACTCATTTTCCTCAGTCATTTAGTTTCAGCTAACTAGACCCCTCGCTAACCTTAAGCATTTTTTGTTTCCGTTGGGAGTTTGAGTTTGCAAGGTAGGACAATCAAATTAACGGGTTAACATTGTTAGCTCAATGGATAGAGCACTGGACTGTTGGATAGAGCGCTGGACTGTTGTGCGGGAGGTCGAGGGTTCGAGACCCGGCCGGACCAACACTCAGGGTCTTAAAATAATTGAGAAGAATTTGCTGCCTTTCTATAACATCAAGCTAGAAATGGTTAGATATTGTAGTATTCTCGGATAGGGACGAATAAATAGAGGTCCCGTATCCTGCAGGGTTAGGGGTAGGTGACGTTAATTTCCCACGCATGAGATTACTGCGTAATGGATGTCCTCCCCTGAGGTGGGATGGGTGGGTTTCTTGGGTCCACAGTAATTGGCGCAAGCAGTTGCGGTGTCCCTGCCGGTTGGCGAAGCGATTAAATTAAATTGAATTAAATTAAAGAAGAATTAAAGTAGGAAAAAGATAAAAGACCTACACAAGACTTGTTATAAGATTCAGCCAGAGACAACATTATGTACTAATGAAAATTACAATCATAATAACAATGATAATAGTAATAAATAATAGAGTGGCGTGTATATGCCCTCCCTCTTAGTTTGCCTCTTGAAGTTAATACAGGTCACAGTGGTTTTATTTATATTCTAAACAGCACTAACCCAAATGCATTCTCCAAACATCGCTTTATCCGAATAAAAGTGTTGTTAATATTCTTTATAGAAAGCTATTGTTTATTGATGTTATTTTTTTATTTTGGTAATTCTTGTTTTTGTTTATGATTGTGGTGTTTTAGTTATTTGTCATTATACGTGCTCTTTTCACTTGTCATTGCACCAAAATGTACACAATGGCTTGGTGTCATCGTCCGGCACCCCTAGCTGTCCCAAACCCGATTCTCATATCAACATCATCGCAGTTATTTGCATTGTTGGTGAAGAAACTGATTCTTGCCTTTAGAGTCCTGACCTCCAGTGGGTAAGTATTGAAAAATCAAACTTTGTTACTTCTCACCCAATTCGACTCATTTTATAAAAAGAAAAAAAAAATAACCATAAACTCAAGAAACCTACTCTAGATGCTTTAGAGTTTGTATTGATTCAAATATTAATTATAAGATTCAACAACTATATCGCAAAAAAAAAAAAAAAAAAAAAAAAGAAGACAATTATAGGTCTCATCTCCTTGCCTTTTGCTAGACACAAAAACATTTTTATTTTAACACGAAGTGTACCTTAGTAGAGCCATTCTCAAAGTTTTGCATATTTGCTTGGCGCAATTCCGACGCATCAGTCAACTTTGCAACCTTTACTACTTTGCAACCTTTACTTCATTTATAGAAGGAAGATCTAAGAATAATTACCTTCCCAGCTTAGCTGAACACTTAAGTCCTTTATTTTTAAGGCTTCAATATCGTCAAGCTGTCTGTTATATGCCTAAGCCACTACATTTCAACTTGCGATGATTATGCTCCTCCCCGACAGACCTAAGAGGTAAAATGCAAATTGATTTCTTATCAAGAAATACTCAGCAGTTGCAATTTTTTTGCACAATGGCTTTCCGTTTCCTAATGACATCCTCAGTTTTCTTTTGCAGTTATTGCTCTGTGCTCTCTTTGTAACCCTGTATGGTTGTTGTAGGTAACCTGTACTCTCTATATAGTTTATAACTTCTGTAATTTCCTCGCAGCTGTCGGGTACAATTAAAGTTGTTTTTTTTTCGAGCACTTCTTAGACCTAATGCTTCAGTCTGTAACTTCGACATACATGAAGCCTTTGCGGTTCAGCTGATCGTTTTCTTATTCTCCCCCCAATAAGAATTAAATTGATCGCATTTTGATCAAAGTATATATCAATATTAAGATTGTTTACTTTTACACAAAATCTGCAGCGAAACTATTTGTGCTTGATGCTAATACTCAATTCCCCTTGTATTTAGTTTTCAGTTAATTGAAAAGTTAGAATTTGCTTTTTTCAAAGCCTCGAAAAAAATCGGTCTCGTGTAATGCTTCTTATTCTCCGTAGTATTATTTATCTCTAGTAATTGCTATATACATTTGCAAATGTGATCAAGATACCCTCAGCTCCTAAAGACTTAAATTCATATTAATTAGTTTGTAAACCCCTTCGGGTAGCTAAAAGGTCAGATGATAATGTCCACAGCTAAGAAAGTGTTCAATAAATGAATATATAGCCAAGAAGCGAAGCTTCGACTGCAACTGGGAAATTTTGAAGATTACTGTTCACACACTTATTTATCTTTATATTGGTTAAATTTCGTTCTTGTTTTTGACGATGAATGTGGTGCTGCCGACATTGTTTATCACTATTGTACTCTTTTTTTCTCGTCACTGTACCAAGATATATCCCATGGCTTTGATGCGTCTCTCGCCATTGTCGAGTGTATGCCCCGTAGCATCAATTCCACACGTATTGTTGTCATCCTTTGGACCTCCTGTTCCAAACCCAATTCTAGAATCAACATCTTCGCAATTCATATGGTTGTTGCCAAAAATACCGATTCTTGCTTTACAAGCTTTGTTCTTCCAGTAATTAGTCACCGGCTCAAGATTGAACCCTTCTTTATTACAGTGACGCTGTAAGGAGCCCTGTGAACCAATCAGTGACTTCCACATGTCACGACCTAATGAGGTGTTGCGATATTGCCCATCAGCGATCAGTGAGTACAAGGAATCCGCTTGCATGTTGATGACAATGAACCTGAGTTGATGGTTGATCTCCATACCGAGACAGATCTTGGAGAAGGATGTGTGCCAATAACTCGGTAACTTGGTCTCCGTATGGTCAAACCCAGTCTCTCCTCCAGCAAGATTATAATCCACCTTGTTGCTCCAAAGATCAGAATCATAATGAAAAGTTCGCTGATCGGGAATAAAAGAGATTTATCGTTTAATATACAAACAACGACCAACAGGGATGAAGAAGTTATATCTATAAGCCGATATAAACACAACGGAAAACAAAGAAAAAGAAGCAGTTTCAGCTAAGAGGGCACTAGAAGTTTTAATGCTTTTTTGATATGAAATAATTGAGAGTCACACTCAAGGACAGATCACCAGTGCTTCTCCACACAATCAATAAGTTACCCTTAGATTTCCGTCAAGTTTGATTTATGAGGAGTTCTAATACACAAGCCATATTAGAAAAAATCTTTGAAAACCTCTAGTTTTTCCCTATTATGAAAATGATAGATCATTAGAATAAATGAATACCGTCAATCTTCACAAAAAGGGGCTATGATCCATTTCCACATCTCGCATTCTTTACATGACAGAGAGCGGGGGGCATATTTCGAGTCCAGCATCTTAAACTTTAGATTTTTTCAGAAGCCCATAAACAATTTTAAAAGGTTACTGTTTGGTGTCTATACCACGAAGAATAATCGATAAAGAATAAAAATGACTTGAAAGAATAACCTTGTTGCCATTAATCTTCATAACAGGGGTCCATGCTCCACTTCCACATCCAAATTCTCCCACGTGACAGAAAACGAAAGCTGGCATCAAGTCAAAGTGGAGAGTAACGACGTCATTCACGCTTAGTCTATCAAAAATAAATCGGATTATGAAAAATAAATAGATAAATCAGGTCGTGCTTTGCATCCACCAGTTTGAAATACTACTTGTAAACTAAGTTTTTGGTTGCTAAATAAAAAGAAAACTACAGCAGCATGATTAAATTTTGGAGTGACTACGTTCTTTTGAAATGTATCAATTACTTTTAAATATCGTACTTACATTTGGCTGTCAAACGCTTCATTGCAGCTTGAAATTTTATCTGAAAGAGAAGAGGAAGTGGCAAGAACTGTCCAACGTTATTAAAGTTTAAGGGATTATGGGGAAGTGTTACTTGGTCATTTACACTTTTATTTCTTACTCTTATTTTACGTAAATTCGAGGCAGGTAAATACTGAAGTTTTTACAAACGCGAAAGAAAAAACAAACATCCAAATACAGTACAACAATTTTTCCACGAGAAATACAATTTGAGGATGTCTCTACACACCTCTTGTCTCTACACATTGCCTCGCCCGAAAGAAACTATAGCCTACTTTAAATGATACATTTCATATTTTGTGATTCAGAAATTTCTCTGTAGGCTCAGCTAAACTTGACATATGGATGATCCTTTACTGATTTAGTCAGAAACACTATCATATATGAAAGTAAGAATATAAAATCCACCTTTGCAAATTCTTCCATCTCCCAAATAACCAGGTTTGCATGAGCAGTTAAACGATCCCTTGATATTGTTGCACACAGCATCGGCACTGCAGTCATGTGATTGTGTAGCACACTCGTTAATATCTATATAGGAATATCAATCATTGATCGCGTTACGTCGTCTCTTAAACAATTGTGAAACGTTCAGCAGGCAACCGTGGACGATACTCCTACTCTTGTACGTTGGATCAACGATGATCTGATCGGCCCAAAATAACGAATATGAAATATATATATAGAGGCAAGACCGATACAACGTAGATAAGTAAATTTTAAGACGGAAGGCTGGTTTGGCCAGCCGAAATATAGTGCTCCGTCTTAAAATTTACTTATCTACGTTGTATCGGTCTTACCTCTATATTTATATTTCTTAAACAATGTACGAGTAATATGGACTTTAGAAGTCTATACGGTTCCTTATGTAGCCTGCATATTGCACTTCATTACCTTCGCAAGTCCATCCGTCGCCAGAATATCCAGGTTCACATTCACATTTGTACGATCCCACCACGTTGCGGCACACGGCATCAGGACTGCAGTTGTGCTCTCCTGTGGCACATTCGTCAGTATCTAAAAATACACAAATGTGATTCAGAGCTGAGAATGTTATCCTTCCCACCAGTGTGTTTTAATGGTGATTAACTAACACTTAAGAGTGGTTGTCTTCAAAAATCGAGCGGAGGTGTTGCAAATAAAAAAATTGAATATGTTTCAAATTTTGCCAGAACATAGGTATGAATGGCCTTAGTTACGGAAAAATATCAAAAATGCCGAAAAATATATACATACAATTTTCTCCTGAAGCCAAAACGTCAAGGCAATCTGAGAAATTCTCAATAGTTTTTCGGCTTCAGGAGAAAACTGCATGTATATTTAATATGAAGGAGACCAGTTTCGAAGTTTTGGTATGATATAAGAGGGAATTCGAGTGTTTTGATAATGTTTTGCCTAATGTGACGTGCAAGTCACGTTGGTCACGTAACGCGCTTCTTGAGCTCAAATACGCTTATATAAATCGCTCTAAAATCTCGAAGTTTAAGTAGCCCAAAAATTTTACTACAGTTTCTGATAGAAGTAGCCTTGTTCTTGACAATGGTTATTGTCTTAGTTTATGGAGCCACGTAACAACACAGGCAGCCCAAGCTCACTACTAGAAAAGCTGACGTGACTCTTACCGTGTTGCGTAACGTTTTATATTTATAAAGGTTTGTATGGCATGTTATCGGTTTGCCTTAAAAGAGAGAAAAGAATGTCTTGTTTTGAAATAAAATGGGCTTACCTTACTGCCTTGTTGTTTTCTTTGTTGATTCCGAGCGTTTCAGGCCATTTTGAAGCGTTGTCGGCGAGTTAGCGCTATGTTGGTGTTCAACTGCTGAAAGAAAGACAAGGCCGGAAACCTATTTTAGAAGCGTCCGTCGCCCAAAGGGAATAATTCCGCCAAAAAATTACCACCAGTCTCGATTCCTCCAGAAAATCAAAGCAGAGATGTTGCAGTTCCATTTTCCATTCACTCGATTCACAATTCCTCCCACAGATCTTTCACTAGCGATACTTTTATCTCCAGATCGATCGGCTTTCCAATTTCGAATTTGGCTGCTTGAAACGTTCGCGGCCCGTTCGCCGATCGCACAGTATGTTGGGTAACAAAAATAAGCCCGGCGAGGGTAGCCAGCGGCCTGCAGTCCAAAAACAAACCCGTTAGCTCCCCTGGTCCCCTCGAGAGGTTTTGTCAAGACCGCATTGTTTTGATCGACCAATCAACATCGAATGGAAATGTGTTTACTAATTTATTGTTTTTGGACTGCAGGCCGCTGGCTATCCTCGCCGGGCTTATTTTTGTTACCCAACATGCTGTGCGATCGGCGAACGGGCGCGAACGTTTGAAGCAGCCAAATTCGAAATTGGAAAGCCGATCGATCTGGAGATAAAAGTATCGCTAGTGAAAGATCTGTGGGAGGAATTGTGAATCGAGTGAATGGAAAATGGAACTGCAACATCTCTGCTTTGATTTTCTGGAGGAATCGAGACTGGTGGTAATTTTTTGGCGGAATTATTC